GACCGTTTTCTCTTCGAGAGTTTCCTTGCTGTGACAATTCTAACTCACGTCCTTCTTTTTAAAATAACTTTTACTGAGGAAGATTTTTCGACAGTACAAAAAAACACAGTACAATTTTTGAATGAAAGGAGAACAAAGAAAGGTAATAAGGGGGGAAGGAAAGAGAAAGGGAAAGGAAAAGAAAGGAAAGGGAAAAGAAGGGAAGGAAAAGGTAGGTTAGAGAGGGGAAGGGAAGGAAAAGGGAAAATGTCAGAGTTTGTGGCAGCAATCACGCCCAGAAAGCACACCCAGGTAACTGATTCATCAGGATTCATTAACTTCTCTTTATATATAGTATAATGCCTGAAGTAAATATACAATACCAAAAGCAGCGTTTCCAACGTGGTAGTAAATACAAACAAACACAGGTAGAGAACAGTTTCACTTTCAGTTCAGAGCAGCAGACGAGTTTTGAGCTCAGCACAGACTCAGAGTTTTAGTACAGAACAGCTAAGCCACGCCCAGGCTCCTTTCTGTCTCCGTGTTGCTCACACAGCAAATACTGTTTCTGTTTCCGAACAGCCCTCATTGGCTGTCTTAGTTGTTATGCCTATTCATTGGCTGACCTTGTTACCATGTCTTCCGAGTCATGAACTCTCGCACACACTGACAGAAAAGGAAAAGGAAAGGAAGGAAAAGGAAAAGGAAAAGGAAAAGGAAGGGAAAGGGAAGAAAGCTGGAAGGGCAAAAGGAAGAAGGAGAAATGAGGAAACTCAGCACAGCTACATCAGGGGTGGGTTGCTACCGGCATTACTGCTGGTTGGCCGTGCAAATTTTTTTGCGCGCACATGCTCAGTCCCCTCGCGTGCACGCCAAATGCGCCCTCTGTGAGTGTGCACATTTGCACCTAAAAAGATCTGTGCATGCATACAACATTAGAAAAGAGAAAAATACACTTCTGCAATGAAGATTGTTCTGCGTATATGCAGAACCGGAAACGAAGATGGCAGCACCGCCAATAGAACCAGTACGGGGGCATGGCAGGCTGAGTTACTACCAACTTAGCCGAACTGGTCCGAACCAGTCTGAACCGGTCCGAACCGGTAGGAACCCACCTCTGAGCTATATGGGAGGCAGAGGAAAGAATCAAGATATTCACTCCCTAGTATCTCCTGGGGTATATCTATCAGGAAAAGAACAGTAAGAGTTTACTCTGGCAAGATTCTGTCTGCTGTGTGAAAGCAAATAAAGAATTAAATTCTGACTGGATTGTTCCATGTCGGTTTTTTCGGTACCTTGGGGTTGATAGACTTCATACTCAGGTTCGGCTGTCGTCTTATCGCCCGCTGTTATTTCCTCCTAGGAAGCAATTTGTCAAGAGTAAATTGTGTGAGTAGTTGACTTTGTTTTTTTTGTAAACAGAT